ATTATATTTTATACAAAATTAAGAAAATTATAAATTTAAAAACAATGTCGTAATTATTAAATAAAAAAATGTAGAAAAAATTATTTTTTTATTTAAATTAAAAATATTTTTACTTAAAAATTTTTTACTTGCAGGTGAAAAAGGAGATATTGTAAAAATTAGAGGACCTAAAGAAGATGTAGACAAGTGCCATAAGTATTTAATGAAATTAGTAAAAGAACTGAATGAAAATAATTATGTCTTAGAGGTACCTATTTTTAAGCAATTTCATAAGTTTGTCATTGGAAAAGGTGGAGTTAATATTCGTAAAGTTGGTATCCAAATATTTTAATTTATATATTTTTAAAATAAATTATAAATATAATCTATATATTATCTTAATTTTTAATTTTTAGATCAGAGAAGAAACACAAACTAAAATTGATTTACCTGCTGAAGGCGAAAAAAGCGATGTTATAACTATCACGGGCAAAAAGGAGAACGTGGAGAAAGCAAAAGAAATGATTCAAAAAATACAAAATGAATTGGTAATATTAATATTTAATAAAAATATTGAATTATTAATTTTAATTTATATTAAGTAATTTTTTGCCAATTAGGCCAATATTATTACTGATGAAATAGTAATACCACCGAAATTTTATAATTCTCTTATTGGTACTGGTGGAAAATTAATTCATTCTATTATGGAAGATTGTGGTGGTGTTGCAATTAAATTTCCTACAGCAGAGAGTCGAAGTGATAAGGTAATTTAATTTGAAAGTATTAGAATTAAATGTATAAATATTAAAATATTTTTTTTATAGGTAACTATTAGAGGGCCTAAAGAAGATGTTGAAAAAGCGAAACAACAGTTACTTGAACTTACAAATGAAAAGCAATTGTCTAGTTATTCAGCTGAAGTACGTGCCAAAGTACAACATCATAAATTCCTTATTGGAAAAAATGGTGCTAATATTAAAAAAGTTAGTTATTTAATAATATAACTTATATTATATAATTATATATAAATTATGATGTATTATATTTGATTATATATATCGTGTTTTTGATTAGATAAGAGAATCCACAGGAGCACGTATTATATTTCCAACAGAAGATGATCAAGATAAAGAAGTAATTACAATAATGGGAAAAAAGGAAGCTGTTGAAAAAGCTAAAGCTGAATTAGAAGCTACAATTAGTGAAATTGTAAGTCTTTATTAATCATAGTTATTTTTATTTATATTAAAATATGTCTTTAATATTAAAATTATTTTTCATATAAATTAAATTATTTTTTATATTTGATCTATTTTATAGGATAATATTACTGAAGGTGAAATTCGTATCGATCCGAAGCATCATAGACATTTTGTAGCTCGAAGAGGAGGTGTATTACATCGTATAGCAGATGAATGTGGGGGAGTACAAATTTCATTTCCACGAGCTGGTGTCGATAGTGATCGTGTAATTTTGAAAGGATCGCATGAATGTATAGAAGCAGCGAAACAACGAATGCGTGAAATTGTACAAGAATTGGTAAATTTTTTAACTCGTTATTTTTTTTTTTTTTTGTTCTACATTCTTTATAATTATTTTACATATAATTATTATTTTTTAGGAATCAATGGTAACAGAAGAATGCATAATACCTCAAAAACATCATCGTACAGTTATGGGAGCAAAGGGACGTAAAGTGCAAATGATTACATCTGAATATGATGTACAAATTAAATTTCCTGATCGGGATACATATGGTTAGTTTAAAATTAGTTGAAATTTAAAAAAAAAAGTTATAAAATTTGTAATCAAGACATTCATATTTTAGATGAACAACGTGTAATAGAACAAATGAATGGTGAGAATGGCGAAATTTCCGAAACTGTTCCAGCTTGTGATATTATTCGTATCACAGGACAACCAGAGAATGTGGCAGCTGCAAAACAAGCATTACTTGATCTTGTACCAATTACAATAGAAGTTAATATTATTATTAGTAACTATATATCAAACAATTTAATAATTAACAAAGAATTATGTAAATTTTAACATAATTTTTAGGTAGAGGTACCATTTGATCTTCATCGTTCTATAATAGGACAAAAAGGTCGTGATGTGCGAGAATTAATGAATACATACGATGTTCATATCATGTTATCTCCAGCAGAGGAAAAACTTGATTATATTAAGGTACACACGCACACGCACGCACACAAAATATGATATTTAATATTAACGTATAATATTAATATAATATTTAATATAAAATTATTGTTTCACTTAGATTTCTGGAACCCCATCATGTGTTGAAAATGCAAAACAAGCCATTCTTGATAAATGTAAAGCTTTGGAAGCTGAACGACAAGATAGAGCTTTGAAATCATTTGAATTGAAGGTAAATTTACTATATATATATATATTAATAACATAATATTTTGAAAAATTATAAATAAATTTATTTAACTAATTTTATTTTAGATTGAAGTTGATCCAGAATATCATCCAAAAATAATTGGACGGAAAGGAGCCGTGATTAATAAGATACGTAGTGATCATGATGTTCAAATTAATTTTCCACGTAAAGGTGATCCTGAAGAACATATCATTACAATCACTGGTTACGAAAAAAATGCTTGTACTGCAAGAGATGACATTATGAAAATTGTTAATGAATTAGTAAATATATTATCAATTTAAGATTACTTATTTTATAAATATAATGATAATTAATGAATATATTCACATAATTTAGAATGGCTTGACGAAAGAAGAAGTACACATAAATGCTGCTGTACATTCGCGTTTAATTGGTTCGAAAGGTAGAAATATTCGTAAAATAATGGATGAATTTAAAGTGGATATTAAATTTCCAAGGAAAACCGATCCTGATCCTAATATTGTAACAATTGTTGGAACAGAAGAAAATGTAGCTGATGCTAAGGATCGTTTGTTGAATTTAGAAGAAGAATATGTAAGTTTATTATAAAATATATGTAAAATCATTTATTTTCATAAAATCGATAATTTTATGTTTATAATATTTATTATTATTTTAGATTCAAGATGTTTTAGAAAATGAATATCGTGAAAATTTGCGTTCACCTCAACGAGATGAAAGAAATTCTGGAAATTCGGGCTTTGTAGTAAAAGGAGGACCGTGGGAACAGCAACAGCAAAGTGCTCCAAATACTGCTAGTGTTGAAGAATTTCCACAATTTGCTGGGTATTCTCACGTACCTGTGACTAATCCTGATGGTCCTTGGGGTGTGAAACGTTAATTTTATATAGAGTAAAAATCAATGAAACATAAGATAAACATAATATATGAACTTTCCTCTGACAAACAATACAGAAGGGTACACACATTAGTGCTAGGTGGTTCCCTGTTCCATTACTGATGTTGCTGCATACGACCTGGCCACTCTATTGGACTCTGATACTGGTTTACTACATAACATTTGACGATGGTGTTTATATTTACAGTTCATATACTAATTACCTATGTATCTGTAACTGTAACGCATGATTTTAAGTTGATTGCCATGTTAGAAATATTCACACATACAGTCAGACGCAAATTATGCGTAATTTCATTCACAAAAAAATATTTGATTTCTTCATAACTTTTAATTCTGCTAATATGCCTTTCAGGTACAGATATGTTGTACTTAAGACTGTGGCTTCTCTTGTAGGAACTAATTTTTTGTGTATATTATATATTTCCCAGATTGTTTCTATTCGTATAGATTGCGTGGTTAAATGCATTTGCGTTTAACCAAGCATATTTTGTTAATTTATTTATATTTTTGTACATATAAATTGCATTTTTTGTTATGTTGGACTTAAGTGGAATTGTTTCTGAATTACATTATGATGATATTAGAGTCTATACAAATTTTTTGCAAAATGTGAAGCTTTAAGGTCTTTCTAAGGAAAACGTTCCTAAATATAATTTTCCTGCTTTTTTATAACTAGTATAATTAATAAGATCGCTTTATGCTCTTGAAATTGCAATGTGCTATAAAGTGAATAAATCTGCCAATAAAAAATAGTTGATCATGTATATTATTAAATGCTGGACTTAAGAAAAGCAGAAATATTAGTGATTATATAATATATATTGGAGGAACATAATCTTTAGAAGGCCTTGCTATTTTTATGCTACTGCTTTTATGCAGTCATTAAAGACCAGATACGAAATCATTGGCATCATTAAAAGAAAAGAATCATGGATATTTATAATGCAAGTGATATGTCGTATTCTTTGAATAGCTGATTTTATTTATTCTTTCTATTTTACTGTTTGCTGTATGATGTGCAAATTTTTGCATTCTACTATTTATGAGGCCAACTAGCTAAGAAAAAAATATTCGGTTCAAGTGCCTTGTCTATTTTCTTCAGGACAGCTCATTTCAATTGTTGGAGGAATGTGAATATTAGATTATACATAATTATATATAAATATACATATATATATATATATATGTATATTTACATATATATACATACACATATATATATAAATGTATATGTATATACATTATATAAATATTGATAATAATTACATTATTATATATATACATATATATAATCAATATGATAGCTATTGTACTTGCAGGTACAATAATATACTATTATCACAAATAAAATAATAGATATTATCATGTATACAGAAATTCATCTATATTTTTTAGATTTACAGTAATTTTTATAAAACTACTTGGTACGACGACTTATGTCATCTCCAATGCATGGTTTATACAAAATGCCAGAATTAGCAATTTTAATATGCTTAGTTTTGGCTAACAATTTGATAGATGCTGTGCATGAATGTACCTTTTCTAATGAATTATAAATACAAAGTAATTGTAATTATGAAATAATATTCTCTGTACACATTATGTCATAATACATAAATTCTCTACTGTAATAATATATATATATATATAATTAATCTATTGTTAAGATAGTGTTATTTTTTCTTTTTTCTTTAGCATTAAATAAATTATGAGACAATATATTATAATAATATTTGACATTTATTTATTATAACATAGTTGAAAGTTGTAATGTTTTCAATTGTTGTACAAATCCTTCATTAGGTTTAATACAATTTCTTATATTTTTTACCTTATTATATGCATCATCATAGGATATTTTTTGAAGAGCCATTATGTAAGATATAATAATCGCTGGTGAACGAGATATACCAGCATTACAATGGACAAGAATATTTTCATCACGATGTTTGTGTATAATTCTGATACATTTTTTAATTACTACAATTAGATCAGATTCAGGTAAATCTAACAATTCACAATAATAATACTTAATGTCATCAAATTTTACTGGTACATTAATACCAATGCTTAAAACATGACGTATTTTATGTTTTTCTAATATTTCTTTGTTTATAATTGGATCTTGTGAGCTAAGGAACAATCCTTGTATTACTTGTGCAATCTGTAAATCAGGTTTATTATCTATCACAAATGGTGTTCCTGTAAAGGATAATTCCCTTTTTATTCCATTATATTCTTCATATTTTTGACCAAGTGTATTAGTTACAATAGTTTTACATTTTTTTAACTCTAATTTTTTATTTTTTATTAAACTGTTTAAATCCATTATCCATATGCAAATATAAGAAAAATGAAGAAAAGAAAAAATAAAATTAATTGATTAAAAAAATCATTTGATGATATTTACATAAATTTTTAAAAATATATATTATATTTCATCTGTATCTAATGGTATAACTACATCATTATCAGAAATTTTATATTTTATAACATATTCATTTAATTTTTCATGACAATATCCAACATTCATAAGATATAAACCATAGGCTGGAGCTGTTTCTATCTGAGGAAGATAATTATGATGACCAGGAACTTGTAACATTACACTTATATCTTTTTCTGTTATTTTATCTGAACCTAGAGCAATTAAAGCACCAACAATTCGTCTAACCTATAAAAAAAAGAAATATTAACAATATTAATATATTTATAATATTGTTTATAAAAAATTAATAATAAAATTAATATCTATATTCTTTATAGATGTGTGAATGTGTGAATTCTATTTAAAAAAATATTTGTTAACCATACCTGCTTATATAAGAAACCTTTTGCTGAACATATAATATTCCAATATTCAAAGTTTTGACTTAAAGGATCGTTTGGCATAAGTGGATGACCTTTTTCTATAGTTAAACTATCTAAATTTCGTACATAATTAATTGATCTGTTACCTATAGTTTTTGCACAGAATGTTCTAAAATCTTTTGTTCCTATAAAAAGTTGTGTTGCACGTTTTATTCTTTCAATATCAAAAGTATCTGATCTGTAATAAATATAATTTATATAATTTTTTATATAATAAATATATCTTTGACAAATATAAATTATACCTGACATGAAAACATTGATTTATTTCTGTAACAGGAATTCTATGTTCATCTTTATTCTTAGCTATCAAAAATCTATAAAGATAAGTTCTAGAAGTTGCAAGTTTCCTTACATAAAAAGTCTTTTTTACTGGAATAAATTCTAATAACCTGAAAATAATATATAACTAATTTGATTAATATGATTAAAATGATTAATATGATTAAAAAATATAAAAATTTTAAATATATATTTACCTTATATTATGATTACAATTAAGAAGATATCGATTCACATATTTAAGTGTATTATTGGGATAATAAATAGAATCATATTTATTTTGTATATCAATGTGAGCTAAATTACACATACTATGTACACCAATATCTGTTCTATGAATTTTAATTATTTTACAGTTATTGTATAATATATACTTATTTAATATAATATTAAATATTAATTATATATATAATTATTTACCTGCTAGAACAAGTTATCTTTGGCCATTCTATACATTTTGGTATTAAAGTTGTGAAAGCAGTTTCCAAAGCTCCTTGAATAGTATCAATATCACGTATTACAGCATTTTTATTACATTTTTGAATTACATTTTTTTGCATTCCTCTATATATAAAAATAGAATTTTTTTATGTTTTAAATAATACTATATAAATAATATAATAAATTTTTATTGCTAAATTTCAGATTTCATTCTCTGTTATTTATGTATTTTACATTTTATATTTTATATTTATGTATTATATATTATTATTATGTATTTTATATTTTCTTAACATTTTTTAGCAATAGTATTTTTTAATATTAAATTTAAAAGTAAATTTATGATCTAAATATATATAAATATATGTGTATAATACCTATATTGTGTACCAAGATATGAAAATTTGATAAAATATCTTGTCATTTCTTAATTATGTTAATTGTTTAATTTAAACTAAATAACAATTTCTGATACAAAAAATATCTTAACCTTAAACTTAGTACTTATATGAGTAAATTTATATTGGTATAAATGCTAACATGCATGGATTTAAAAAAGATATTTATAAAATAATATAAATTAAATGCAATTATCTAACTATTCTAATAAAAATAACGTTATTTGAAAATTATTTTTATTAATTTTATATTATTAACTAATTTTATTATAAGATTATATATTATCAGAATGGAAAAATTTCGCAAAAAAATTCAAATTTTCTTATAAAATTTTTAATAATTATAATTAGTATTATTATTTTAAATCAATAAAAAAATTTGTTCAAATAATATCTCGTTCATTCTAATCAAATTATAAATTTAATATATTTCAATTATCAATATTTTAATAAAAATATATAAATTTATAATAATAAATAATATAATAATTTGAATATTTTTGCATCTATTCAATTAATTTTTAAAAGAATTTATAAAAACATAATCTATGTAATAAAATAATCATAAATTTGTGTAAGTAATAAAAGATTAAATCAAATTTTGTATAATTTATAAAGTTATTTATATTAAATCGATTCGTTACAATCACGACAGTTTAGTCAATTTTGTTAGTTTTAATCTGGTATTTTAGTATTTATTTGATTTATTTAACAATGAAAATAAAATTTATTTGGTGGAAAATTATCAAGCAATATTTAACAAATTGCAGTATACATGGTGTTAAATATCTCGTAGACGATCAACTATCATATATAGAACGGTAATTGTATTTATCTAAAAATTATTATTATAAAAATTGTAGTTAAATTGATATTAATAGATTTGAATAAATAATATTATAATTTTTATATATATAAACAAAAAATTTATATACTTTAAAATTTGAGTTATATATATTGAATATATTTAATTAATCCAATGAATTATGATAAAAAGAATTTATATAATTTTATGTTTTTATAAGGATATTAATTTATTATATTAATTTACAGATTATTCTGGCTAATATTTTGTGTATTATGTTGGTGGGGTTGTACAAACATGATTAAAGATGTATTGATAAATTATGTTCAATATCCTGTTGCTTTAACTGCCGAAACTACTTATGTTGATTGGCAGATACCTTTTCCTGCCGTTGCTTTTTGTATTACTTCCGCTCCTACATTGAAAAGATATTTCAAACTGTATGTTATATTAAAATTAAAATGATTTATTATTTTATATTATAATTAAAATTAAATTTTCATAGCTCAACTCGAATTTTTTAAAGATATTTCTAAGAATATCTGTAATTATCAATTTCTAAGAATAAAATATAAATAAATGTTTTTAAGGAATCCAGGATCGTTCACTGATGCGCCTCGAAAAGTTTTTAAATATTCATCTGAAGAACTTCTATCTTTCTACGAAGAGGTGACAAAATTATTACTCATTTTTATGAAATTGAATATATTATACTTATTGAATATAGAACAAGTTAATATATTAATTATTTATATTAAATATTTATCATTATCATAGATACGTATTCCTTGTAAAGAGTTCTTTGCGGAATGTAGTTGGAACAACATGAAATTCGATTGTTGTGCTGAATTTCAGGAAATAAGAAAAACTGGTGTGGGTTATTGTCTTGCAATAAATACATTTCATTTGAAAAAATTTGACAAATCGAGCGTGCATTTTTTCGTAAATCGTACCGTGAAATATGGTGATCTCATCATTGATATTTCTGTAGATGCAAGAATGAAGCAACATCTTTATAATGGATTTACAGTTCGTATCTATTTTTTATTAATAACTTTTTAATTTAATTAATAATTCATCAATTTTCATTTTATTGCAATGATTTTAGCTGAAATTCAAAATAATTGAAATTATTAAATAATTAATCTTTAATTCTGAATGACTTTAATATAAGTTTTTATAGAGATATATAGAGATATATCTTATAAGCAATATTCAATGAAAAAAAAAATATTCATTAAAAAATTACAATTATTATTGAAGAAATATGGCAGTATATTATAAAAACTTTTTAAAAAAACAAAAAGTAAAGCAAAAAATAAAACATATAAAAAACAAAGATTTAAACTCACATTATTGACTTTTAATAAATTTCTAAAATTTCATTAACAATGCAGTTAATTTTATCAATTATCTGAGATCATGTTAAAATAATACATAATAAATATTATTAATATTAATAATATTAATAAATGAGTATTTATAAATAAGTACGATAATAATATGAATTCATACTTATTGTTATAGTAATCAATGACGATTATCTCTGCTACATATTTTTATTTTACTATATTAAAAACAAAAATGATTTTATAATTTTTTTTCGATATTTTTCTTAATTTAGAATCTGTTCTATCACATAGAATAATGATTATGATTAGTTTTTGAAATAAATTAAAAAATACTAGCAAAAATGAATGTTTTCGGCATTTTTTTAACTTTGATTATTATTCAAACATATTTAAATGTTTATAATTTAATAATTTATCATTTTCGTGAATCGTGAGAAATCATAGAATCATTTTATGTCTGAATTGCTATATTTATAATAATACTTGAATAAGTATTACTGAATAATTATCATTGTGAAAATATAAAACATTTTCAAAGTTGAAAAATTACAATTTTTTTTAAAATTGATTGTTTTCTTAAACAATTGTGGAAAAAATATTCATATTCATTATATTAAAATTTACAAGAAATGCATATTGAAGATTATAAAATCATGAGAGATATATATTGAACAGTATTATTATTATAAATTTTGACACATTTCGAGAAAATGTTTTACTATATAATTATTTAAAAGAAAAAATAGAAGAAAAGAATTGATAAAAATTATGCAATTTTAGGTACATGTTCTCAACAATTTACAGTTACCAATATTTAAAAGCTTGAGTCATGTAATTTTAAAAATCGGACACACGACTCGAGTTGGGTTTACAATGGAAGACACATTTAATGAGGATGGTGTAAAAAAAATTGCAATCGAACACAGAGGTTGTCGATTTCCTAATGAAAAACGAACATATAATTTATTTGATATTTATAGCAGAGATTCATGCTATGTAGAAGTACGTCAATTTTTTTCTTTCATAACAAATATATCAAATATTATAATCATTATCCATTATCGATTGACTGGAGAACTTCATATAATTTATGATCCCACATTGATAGTAAAAAATGAATGCTATTTATAGGTAATTATAGAACGGATGATAAAGCTCTGTGGTTGCGTAAATTTTTATTATTTTGTGCCTCAAGGAACAAGAGTTTGTAATAGTACGGAAATGTCTTGCATATATGCTAATAAGATGAGTTTCAATATGCAATCACTTATAAATGAATGTGTTCCGGATTGCGAGGGAACATCATTGACTGTGTATGAATCCTATAAAAATATTAATGATTGAAAATGTCTTAATATAAAAAAAATATAGATATTGTATTTTAGATTGCAAATAACATTTTTTTAAAGTATTATGTGATTTAATTTTTAAAATATTATTAATTTTTTTTTAAATTAACTTATAATATTCTTAAATATAATGTGATATTTTATATTATAGGGAACAATTGCTTGAATCTTATAAATATGATCCTTTAGGTGAAAAATATACACGTCTTCATTTTACTTTGCTTTCTCATCCAATGACACGATATCGTCGATATGTGGTCAACGATCTTTTAAATGTTATAGGTAATTTAATTATTATTATAAACGATTATAATTCTATCTATTTAAATCATATATCATTATTTGATAAATTTGTAAAAAAAATGAAAATTATTTATTCAAAGTTAATATTTATGCTTCTTTTTTTTATAATATTTCCTTCATTAATGCTATTATCATTATCAAACAAATAGTGCTTCCGGCATTAATGAAGAAAAGATGTAAAGTCACCTTCAAAAGTTTAGATAAGAATCTTACAAACTACATTTTTTACTCGGATTCCATATATAGATAATATATCAATAATTTATCTAGAATGTAACTATAGAACTATAAAATATAATGTTACACAAAATATTTTGTTCATAAAGTAATCAATTTTTTATTTGTTTGAGATAAAGATGTATATATATTATATGATGATCAAGATATAGAATATACTCATTATCATTCTTTTTAAATATCATCTTTTGCTATTATCAATTGTTTAACATATGTATCTCTCGTTGTGATTACCATATAGGAAAATTTTTACTTTTGATATATGAATATATTGAAGCTACAATTTGTTATATTATAGCAAACAACTCTGATTTTATGTTTGTAAGAAGCTTTTTGATATTTCAAGTATCGTGTATTCTTTTTTTTTTATGCCTGAAGCATTTTGCATGATATTATCTTATAATATTATATTACAAAAATTTTTTTTATTATAATTTTATAATTTGATGTTATTTTCAGTTTCGGTTGGAAGTGCAATTGGTCTTTTTATGGGCGCCAGTATTTTAAGTATCTTTGAAATACCATATTGGTTATTTATTCGTCGAGATAAAATAATATAAGATCCAAATTTTATGGATCAAAATATTAAAATATGAATAGAGATTGAGTTATATTATCTTTTTAATTATTGATTTTTTAATATTAAATATAATTATTTCACGAATTTTGCATACATATTGTATATTTCAATAAAGAAGAGATAGAGCAAATATGGTTTAATAATATAATTAGAGATAATATAACATATGTATTTCTATATTAACATGATCCGAAACTTCGTTACTGTTTTATCTCTATATTATTTGTCAATAAATATGCATACGAAATTAAAGATACAAGTATCCTCTTGTAAATACATCATAAATACATAAGGAAATCACTTTATCATTGATGCTTATATAAAGACCATTCCACGATACGATATTTACTTCTTCGACCATGTCAAAATCAGAGTTGGAAATTGAAATCACATCAGAATGCTTGAATGGTAAAAAATTATTTTCTAATATTCATAGTTATCATAATTTGCTCACATTTCAAGAAGTGCAAACTCTAGTCAAACGTACCTCAGGTGATAAAGCAGTTGTACAGAAATACTCTCTGAGATCATATTCTGATGGAAAGCTTGGATTTCTCGGATCTCATCAAAGGCTCAACGTGGAAATTAAAACCACAAATGGAAAAGATATACTAACTTTTTTTGTTAAAACCGTACCATACGATTTACCAGTTCAAGCTGAATACGTACTCGATAAATGTGTCTTTTTGAAAGAAAAAATTTTTTACCGTGACATAGTTCCACAGTTATATCATGACTATAAAGGTGAATCATGGACTGCAACTTGTTTCTTAGTCAAAAAAAATTTATTATTATTCGAAGATTTAAGTACCAAGGGTTACTCATTAAGAAATAAATTGTTCAACAAGGAACTTATTGTGTCCAGTTTAACAACCATTGCTAAATTACATGCATGCTCTTTGTTGGCAGAAGCACGTCTTGGAAAATCTCTAAAGGAATTATATCCACAAGCTTTCGTAGAAAATGCTTTCTCCGAGACTGGAAAGACTAGCGAATGGTTTGATGTAAGTGTCAATGCTATAGTTGCCGTCGCTAAACATCTTAATTTGGATGCTAGTTTAATACCAAAAACTTGTAAAGAAGTATATGCAGCTTTGAAAACGTCGTCTATAAAAAAGAATGTAATTAGCCATGGAGATTTATGGGGAAATAATCTTATGTTCAGTAATAGTGTACCTCCAAAGTGTCTGTTGATTGATTTTCAATTGATCAGATATTCTCCTTTGGCGCATGATATAGCACAACTTCTATATCTTTGTACTGACCGTGATTTTCGAGTAACCTGGGAAGAAACTATGCTAAAGCATTACTATAGTGTATTATGTGAAACTCTGAAGTCGGCAAAAACTATTTCTGTGGAAATTCCAGCTTGGTCAGAATTAACCGAGGGAATAGAAGAACAGAGATTAGCCGCTATAATTACTGCAGCTATATATTTTCAAACTGTATTATTAGATGAGAAATTGGGAGCAAAAATTTTGGGTGATCCTAACAGTTATCATGAATTTGAATTTAAAAATAGAAACGAAACAGTACTTAAACTCATGGAAATTGATCCAATATATAATAAACGTTTAACAGAAACTGTTACTGAGTTAGTTGAATTTAGTTTTCGGTTAAATGAATTACCGAAACCAACATAATTCTTATTAGATAATTAATAGAGCACATTTATTTTTGCACTGAGGCAAGTTTTCAATAAAAATTATGTTAATTATTATAAAATATGTAAAAAAAAAAATATATATATATATATATGAACATTGTATTTGACAATGTAATAAATAATTCATGAAATAAATTGTGTCTGTATTCATTTAAGTGATTCATTAAAAAAGATTAAATTATTTATCTTGCAATTTTACAAATAATTAATTTTTTAAATGTTATTTAAAATAACATGAATAAACAAAATCAAAACAAAATTTATACTAAATCAATGTTCAATTTCTTCTCGATCTGGAAGTATAGTTGAGAGAAAAGACCAATTATGATCAACCAGTTGCACTTTTGTTTCATCAACATCATTGATTTCAATTATAGGTGGTGATTCTTGTTTTTTTGATCGTGATAATTCTCCTTCACTTTCTTCAGCTGAATCCTCTTGTAAATCCTTCTGAATTATATTATCCCTATAAAAATTAAAATAAAAATAAGTATTATATCATAATTTTAATAAAATATTATAATAAATAACAAAAATTATTTAAATATTTGTTGGATTATTTTCAAATTTGAATTTAAGTTTGAAGTTTGAATTTTATAATTTATTTGTAATGATTTGCTATAATTTATTAAAATTAAAAATTATATCAAATTACTTATCGATTTTATCATCTATTGATTGAGTTTTAGATACAGATGACGACAATAGGGATGTAATAAATGATGTACATAACATTTTCATGGGCGGTAAAGTGTGGGCTGAAACGCTGAGGAGCTGAAACATAATTAATATTAGTTCAAATATCAAAAATCATTATATTTTTAATATATTAAAGATTTGTTTGAAATTAATTTATTTGTTTGTTTGAGAAATAAAAAATGATATAAAAAAATAAAATAGCATAAATAAAGATAAAATTGATTTGAAGAGGATAAAAAATAAGAAAGAATATGTTAATTAAAAAAATAGTTAGGAAAAATAAAAATAATATGATATACATTTATTTATGAATTTATAAATTAATGACGCGCGCTTTATTTTTTTAATCATATTTATGATGTTAGTGACGATCAATTAGTTAATTATTCTTAAGGCTGACGCATTCCCAAACGAAAATTTCTGCAATTCCTGTAATCTTCTACTTCAGATCTAGGTTGACACATTTCTTTCAACCTACACAAATATTCTTCTCATACACTAATTTTATACACTAATTTTCGTCAGAAAATAGCTAGAAAAGATATTTCATGAAGCAAAAAAATAATATTATTGCGAAAAATTTAAATACGCACTCTGTATATTTAATTTAATTTAACTTTGCTTAATCAATATATTATTAACATATCTATAAATATTGATTATTGCTAATAGATTTCTAACTAATAAAAAATTCTTTAAAGAATTGTTAATTTGAAATATTAAATAATTTGATTGATTTTAAAAAAATTTATAAAAAAAAAATATATAGAATAAATAAAATTAACAATTGTTAAGAATGCATTAAGAATATATTTAAATGCATATATGCAGATAATGTAAAGATATAAATATAAAGATATCGTTTAGTAAAATTATATAAAAGAATAAATTATCAAAAATAAATTTAATTTCAAAGAAATAATATTAATTGTTAATAAGTTTACAAGAGAATGCCAACCAACTTAAAACAATTTAACAAGATAGAATGCTCGTTTCGACATACACCTACATATAAAAGGAATACGATTTTATTAATAGGTAATGTAACAATCAGGACAGCTCCCGCGAGAGATAAGACTTTGTTCCTAGCTTCCCCAACAGGTTCGTCCTGACCTGGTTTTATCGGAACATTTGCAAATAGTTCCGGAACGGCGTTGAAAACTACCGTTCTCCATTTTGCATCATAACGAAAATGAATAAAGGAACATATTGTCAAAAATGTTGATTCTTTATTCTTAGTTTATTAATCTTTTCAAAGAATTAATTAAAAGAAAATTTAATTAAAATCAAAACTTATCCTACATGAATGTATCATTTTTATTGGAATAAAATTATAAGAATGAAAAATTGAGAAATATTGAAAAAAAAAAATGTATGTTAATTATTTGAATTTGGTAATAGGAATGAATTATGAGATTAGATTTAGAAATTTAAAAAAAGAAGTTTAAGAAAATATTGATTTGAATATAAATATTGAAAATAAATATATCTGGTTCTTTGTTATACATTCTTAGAATGGATTATAAAGAGAAATAGTTACGAGATGAGTGATAAAGAATTAAGTATTCTACAGAACTGACGTAATTTGTAAGAAAGTAGTGAGTTAGCGGATATCCGTCTACTGAAGTAACAACGTAGATGTTGTCTAATTAATTACAAAGTACATGTTTTACGTTCATTTTTATAACATTATTAAACATCTTTAAATTTTATGCATCTATTATTTATATTTTGAAATATTTTCATAAATATTTAAAAAAATATAAAAATAAATTGTAATATATTTTTTGAAAAGAATACAAAGAATATATGAATAAATTTCTATTATCAATATTTATTAAATTTTATTTAAACTATAAGATTTTAAATTAGTCAAGATTATTAGATTATAGTCAAAAATTATATAAATAACAAAAATATTTAATAATAAGTAAAATGTCTTTCTTTTAAATAATCAATAAAATTGTCTTATTCCAATTTATTTCTATATACACAAAATATGTAAATCAACATTTTCCTATAAATTTTTTATAAGTGCTAAAAAGATGACATAATTAATCCCTAAAAAATCTTTAAAATTAATTATTCAAAATATAATATATTTATGTTCTCCATAACGTTATTATTAATGATTATGTGGCCTTAGGGACCGCAGAAACTCGGTGATGATCCTTAATTTGCTTAGCCTCCAGACGCTGAAAGCAATCTCCAAATAGGACAAGATTTAACTTTTAGACAAGCTGATATTATCGCGTTCATTTAAATGATCGCACATAGAATGAGAGAGTGTGTAAGATAGTTTCTGAACAATGTTTCTTTCTTTCTCTATTTTCCGTCAACTTGTTGCTCCAACTCGTTCACAATAAGGGAAACTCGGTCTATCGATTTTGTATTGGTTTTAAAGCAATGAAATTTTATAACAATATACATAGATATGTCTACTCAAGTTCAATCTCCATTATTCTCGAGAATGTTTGCAATGTATGATAATCAGTTTATTTTTTAAATAACTTGTATTTTCAATCTGCCAATTAATTATATACTTATATATCTTATCATTCCAGAAAGAAGTAAAAGAATGAATAATGAAATGAAATATTATTTTTCCTCCTTTTTTTCTTCTTTATTTTATGAAAAAATATTAATATGTTGTAATTTAATATTTAGGAATTCTTTCAAACAAATTCTTCAATGTCATTTGTGAAGAAATATTTAAAACTCAGATTTTTAAAGATCTATTCAAACTGTGATTTCAAAATATATTTAGATAATTTATAAAATCAAATCGAATTTATCATTTTCTTGAATAATGCGCAATCGAAGGTTTTTTTGTCGAAGACAATGCCCTAGGTCAGAAGGACAACTGGAACGCCGTGAGAGGGTGGGAGTGCGGAGAAGTATTAAATCATAGCGAGGCCACTTCCAAAGTCAGTTCTACGTTGAACGTCCAGACAAGAAATTCTTCCTTGTAACTATTCATCGATTGTTTTATCAAAAAATTTATGATTTTCTTCTCCTATTTTTCTTATAAACATTTTTATAAAGAGTTTTACTCAATACTTTTACTATAAAATAAAAAAATAAGAAAGAACAGGTAAATTTAAATAAAAGATAAATAAAAGATATTGAAATCTTGTAGATGATACTCTGCAATTTGTCTGATATTTTTCATTGAACTTAATTTCAGTCAATTTTTATGTTTAACAGAATTCTTCAAATATTTCATTAAAATAAGCAGTAATAAGCTCGTGATTGTGTTTCTGAAGTGAATCTTCTCGTGCATTAAAAAAAGTTAGAAGAAAATTTTGTTATCGTTAACAATATCGGTTATGAAGTTAACAGCGTGGAATTTTGTGTTGTGCATCTTGGTAACTGTTTTCTTCCTGGCGGTTACCATATCTGCATATCCTGCTAGCAATCCAGAAATAGTGAGTATCTCTTTTGATATTTTATCTTCTTCGTAAAACGTGAAATTTATATTTCGATACCACCTATAAGTTATTTCATTTTCTCTTGATTATTAAAAATTTCATTGTATATATACATTTCATATTATGTATTTTCTTTTTATTCCTTTTTCGTAAATTACTTAAATATTGTTTCTTGTTTGATGTGGATCTTGTTTGAAATTCAGCCACGTGTTGAAAATGGCGCGTGGGCAATTGATTCATAAAATTGTGTTCTTCTTAAGAAATTAGGTACATAGAAACAGTAGAAAGAACGATATAATAGACAAACACAGAAAGTCATGATCGCAATACAACCTGTAATATAGAAAGTGGGAATATCCTGCAAATATTTAGAAATTTTTAAATTGCAATATAGTTTTTTAAAATGAAGCAATTTCTTTTATTCTATCAATTATTAGTTATTTAATTTTATTTTCATTAAAAAAATAATACTAATAATAATTATATAGTTCAAAGTAATAATTGTAAAAAACCACATTTTTCTGGATCAGAAAATGTTATCATTAGGTCGAGTTTGCATGGACAAAATAAAGCAAATAGATAAAGAAGAATATACTACACGTGTATATTGATAATTTTATTTGGGATGATATAATTCAGTCATCGATATTCGAATTACAAAAAATGAAGCTATATAATAGAGTTTCAAATTAATTTTATAATTTGTTATCTGCAAAATGTATCAAAAATAAAAAGAATTTTTAAAATTTTTTATATTCATTCTATGAATTAATAAGAAGATAAATAGAGATTCATATTTTCCGCCTGCACGTGGGATGCATATGCAAGCAAAAGTGGACATTGCTCGCAAGCGGTTCTTATTAAATCAATCTCTTTTCCTCCACTTGTATTAGTATATCTAATCAAATTGAACTGTAGGTGGTATCGTAAACAGAGTTCATACTTGTGAGAATTCCTTTGGAATCGTTCATTATTAATTTTACAAAAGAAACTTATAATTTGGCGAATTTCTTTTTAAATATTTGTAAAATATTTTTTTGTATGTCTATATATATTTACAATATAATATTTTATTATAGTATTAAAATTAGAATTAAAAATAATAAAATTAGAAGAAAACAGTAATTTTTTGTATAAAAATAATTTCAAATATTTTTTATATACAGATTTTTTTATTTACTAAAAGAAATATGTTTAAAAATTTACTAATTATGTTTAAACTCAATTCTAGTTTATATAAATGAAAATTGATTCTCTTTTTTTAATGTATCATAAAGTACATGAAATTATCATAGAAGAAGAAGTTCAAATTATAATTTTCTTTTACTGAGAAACTATTTTGCTATACCTTTATATATGCTATTTATATTTGGTAAATAATTTGAGTTTTATTAAATATAGTCAATTATTTTTTTAAGATGTATAACTTGCAGGCGATCGAAAATATGCGACAGATTCCACAATGGCACTGTTTGCGCTACAGAAAATTTGATCTCGTACGCCGCTGTCGGAATTACCGTTTAGGAAGAAAACATTGACAAATACAAAATCATCGCAATTCAGGATGGATGAATACAAATAAGTCATTATATTTTAAATTTCATCGTCCAACTATTTTAAATATTCTATTGCATATGTTTAAATTTATATAATAATGAGTAACAAGTTATAATAATATTTCTATAGAAAACTTATAAATTATTTATAAATTTAGTTCATAAATTGAGTAATATAAATAATATATATTTTAATTTAATTTTTTATATTGTATTATCTATATTAAGATTAAAATTAATCTTAAAGTTTTATTTGTTATAATAGAGAAGATATATATATATATATATATATATATATATATATAAATGAGAATATCTCATGAGAGATTTTTAAGATAAAAATTTTAATAAAATTTATTATTCGTTATGTTATTGATATTATTTGTACTTTTATGTTTTTTACTTAATTATTTATATTATATTATATGATAAACTGTATATAAATAAATGCTCTTTGATCTCATTATAAAATGAGAATATGTTAAAATAAAATTATTTTAATATAAATAATTATTTTCATTAAAATAAAATTATTTTTTAATAATAAAATATTTTGGAATTAATATTACCTATTTAATAAATCATTTATTTGCTACTTAAGACATAAAAAGATATAAAAAGAATAAACATATAATTATAAAAGTATATTATAAATCCACTTACTTCTTCCACTATTCCTTTTCCTGGTACTCCTAATTGTTCATACATAAATGGCCCAGCTGTTTTCGTGTCCTTAATAGTTTTAGCCGCTATTAGATTACTAAAAGCAGTCGCAGGAACATTTGTATTTGTAGATAAAATTTCGAGAGAAATAGTCACTTCAGATTCTGGCTCCAATGTTAGTAATTCCTACAAACAAATTTACGTTTTATTACAATGCATGTAAATATTATATGCATGTATATTTATATATTTATCGTGCTACATACTTGATTAGAATCTAAAAAGAAAAGTTGTGACCTTCGTTGCCATATCCTGTATGATGAATCTCGTTTTTCTCGTAAGTGTGGTACAAAAGCGGCTGCCAAAATTGAACTATTATTTTCAATGACATTTTTTCTTGTATAGATAGGTGACGATTTTTGAGGTGTGAATATAAACACTGAAATTAATTGATTAATTCCTAATTGATTAATTTAAAAACGAAGTTTGATATTTTGTCAGACAAGTTGTAAACTTACATGAATTATCAGTTGTGAAAACAGCCATATATGTTGATTTTAGATCTGCTGTAAGAGTTGCAACTTTTAAAGATACGCTCCATATTAATGTAAGTGATAAAATATTCCACACCGCAATGTGATGTGCGGAAGCCGCTACAACAAGATGACAAGCTTCTTGTTTTCCAAATTCAATTCGTCTAACAAAATACAAATAATAATGACAATAATGTATTATTTTATTAATACTATTATTATTTATAATAATAAAACTTACGTCACTGGATACTGATATTGACTATGTGTAAGGCTACATTTAAATGTACAAGTATCTGGAGTCCACATTGTTACACTAGAATCAAAACCAATTCCAATTAATGAACCATCTATCGAGAAACCAGCATCTGATACAGGTAGATTTCTATAATCTCCTATACTATGACATTGCCAATATTTTGTTTTTTCTGCAACACATTTAATCTTAAAATTTAATATAAAATAAAACAATATAAAATAAAAATGAAATATATAAATTTTACATACTGAACATAGATAAAGGTTCTACAAGATGCCATAATTTAAATTTTTTATCTTTGCCAGTTGTAACTGCCAGTACTTCATCTTCATTGAATAATGTACTTGGTTGAAAATGCAAAGCATTAACACCACCTTCATGAGGAAGCTCAATCGATGTATTTAAAGCATACCTAATGATTAATATACTATTTTAGAATTTATAAATCGAAAAAATATTTTTTATACTTACATTTGTTGTATAACATCATATTTCCAAAATTTTAATCTTACTTCTATACATGATAAATTATCATTTCGTTCTTCAATAGTTGCCATCCACATACCATTGTTATTTAATGCTATTTTTGTAACTTCTGTATTTACAATAATTGCATTGCGTTCTTGTGTTAAAAAATTTTGTGCCGTAATATTTATCTAAGAATTTATTAATAGTTATATGCAAAATTTTTTTACGAGTTTTATCTTATTATTATTATTACTTACATTATATAATAAACTTTTTGTATGAGTATTATAAAATTGAACATGTCCAGTGCGACTATTTAATACTAAACAATTAGTACGCGGATCAACAATAAGACCAGCAGGAAATAAATCTTTAGAAGATAAACTTACACCCCATGTAAAATTTTGTATAACTGAAGTCAATTTTCTTTGTGGATTTACAACTACAATACCTATAATAATATATTATACATATTTTAAAAAGATAAATATATCTTTCTTAATAGAAAATATTAATAATGTAAACTGCAAAAGAAAATGAATGAATTATAAAATACTAAAAAATATTTATACCATTATCTAAAGTAGATACAGCGACATATAAATTATCTGGAGCTATAGTGAGATGTTTAATAGGTGCAGGTAATCGTGGAAGAAAAGATTTTTGATGTGGATTTGCTAAAACCCATTTCACTAATACACATTCTCCTCCTCCTGTATACATATGTCCTCCTATGATTTTTAATAATAGGTATATATCTTAAAATTAAAAAAAAAAAAATTAAATATATATATACATATATAATATACCTGATTTACTGAATACTATTTCTGTAACAGGTAATGTATGCCAATGATAAACAGCTGTATAAGGTCTTGTTTGAAATAAACCTTTCCATACTACTGCACGACCAGTTGAATCTCCTGTGGCAACACATTCTTCTTCTGGATGTCCAGCAATACATGTTGGCCTTCTACCAGTTTTACCTGTTTTGTGTCTATGATAAAATCAAATAATATTTAAATATTTTAAAATAAATATTTTAAACATTAATTTTAAATATTCCATTTTTTTTATGTAAAAATATTTACAATTTGTCGATAAGATTCCTTGATGGATTTAATATATGTAAATCTACATCATGAAGAACAGCTATTAAATTTTCTCCATGATTTCCAATTATATCAATATAATATTCATGTGAATTTGTTCTGCAATAATAAGCAAAAATATATAACAAATTGAAGAAAAATTTAATTCATAAGAAGAATTCATTAAAGAAAAAGTTTCTCTTACGATATACATGTGGATTTTGTACAAACTCCATTATCTAAATCAAATAAAACTATATAAATTTTAGTATTGCATTTGGAAATATATGTTACAAGCACTTGTCGTAACTCATTTCCTTTATGAGTTTTATAATTTACTATGTGAAATGTTTTTATTTTTGGCTCTTCTTGAAATTTCAATTTCTGCAAAAAAAAAATGATAACAATAGAATTAATAAATAATTTTTTAGAATATGAAAATTCTAAAAAAATATATGATTTTATATATTATCATAAAATACATTTAATATTCATACTAATTTTTTTGTAACAATTCCACTTTGACAACTCCAAAAATTTAATTCTCCATTTTCTGTGCAAGCAATGATTAGATTAGGATTTTCAGGATGTATAATTAATCCTGCAATTCTAAAACTTGCTGGTTCTAATTCTTTTACAAAATCTCCAGTTTGTGTACTATAAGCTCTTATAACATGTTTCCATACTATATACAATAATCTGTAATAATAAATGTATATTGGATAATGAACTTAAAACTTTATTTTATTCCAAGTAAAAATTATAACTGAGAAAATAAAAATATTAAAAGTTTAAGGATTTTTGTTTCCTAAAGCAATATTTTACTAAAAAATATTAAAAAAAATTATTTATACTTAATATAATATTAAAACTTACTCTCCATCATGAGAAAAAATTGGTCGTTGGTCAATTATACTACCTCCACCTTTTCTCGTAAGAACTAAATCATCTACATCTATTATTTCAATATTTTTAGATTGGCGCCGTGTACTCAATTTCATTTGCATTTTGTTATTTAACTCGTAAAACAATAATTTTCCTAATAATTACATGTGGTATTATAAAACTCATATATTAATACAACACAACAAGATATAAAATATATGTAAAAAAATTATATTTTGACAATTACACGTGTTTAATATAATTAACCAAACCAAACGTTAATCACATGGTGCCTTATTGCAATCCAAATATTGAAACAAACTTCATATGTCATTTATACAACTGTATCAAAAAAATACCTAGATCTTTAACTATAAGAAAATTATATATTTTTTTATTAAAATAAAACTTAATAAAACTGTCTTATATATAATTTTTACATATTTAATACTTACAAATAAAAATATAAAAATATAAATAGCAAAATATATTATTTCAAAAATATGCAATCAGTTTAAAAAAATATTTATCGATGATATCAAATGAAATTATATTTTAGCGACATCTATAAAAATGAGGATCAATTCTGAAATATTGATTTAAAGACAAGAAAAGAAAATAATAAGAACAGAAAAAGATAAAGATAAAAGACAATGAATGAAAGAAAGATAAAATAGAATAAGAATAAATAATTAGCGCCATCTCTTGAAATCCTAAAGCAACATAAATTAACTAAAAAAAAAAAAAAAAAAAAAAAACAACTAATTTTCAATTCTTAATTTTTTTTATATCCTTATAATTCCTATAAATTTTTAATATTTTTTTTCTGCTTTTTTTCTAAATTTATTTGTGATTAAGAAAAGATAAAAAAATATGTGACTTACTGATAGTAAACAGCATAGTGATGTACAATAACAGTTTTTCATTCATTTGAAATAATAATGTATATAATTTTGTGTTTGAAATACAAAATTTGTATGCAACTTTAAAAAATAGAATATTTGATGTGTCTAAATGATAATGCAATGGCAAAATTGTGGCAAAATTGATTTTCTTTCATTCAGTAACAGTATTTTGATGGTAAAATTACATACTGACTTATCGATAACGATATAAGTAATTATTTATAGATTTCTACCATATATTTTAAAATGTGAAATATAAATGTTATAATTTTTAATATTCTAATATTTTATTAATTTTAAAATTTATTGAT